ATAACCCGCAAATAGGCACGGTTTTCTTTCTTTCTAATCTGTACGCCTTTTACTTTCTTTCTCTGCCTATTACATTGACTAGGACTTCAGGTGCTATCTTGAATAGAGTGAGGAGAGAGGACATCCTTGCTTTGTTCTCGATCTTAGGAGAAAGCACTCAGTCTTTCACCATTAAGCATGATATTAGCTGTAGGTATCTTATGGATGCCCTTTATTAAATTAAGGAAATTCCCTTCTATTTCTAGATTGCTGAGATTTTTTTATCATGAATGGATACTAGATGTTTTCAAATGCTTTTTCTGCATTGTTTGATATGCTCTGGTCATTTTTCCTCTTTAGTTTTTTAATGTGGTGAATTACATTTATTTTTTAATTTGGAATTAGCCTTGCATTTCTAGGATAAACCCCACTTGGTCATGGAGTATTATTCTTTTTTTATATATTGCTGGATTTGATTTCCTAATATTTTTTTTGAGGGTTTTTGTGTACTGTTCACGAGGAATACTGGTCTGTAGTTTTCTTCTCTTGCACTGTCTTTGTCTAGTTTTAGTGTCAAGGTAGTTCTAGCCTTATAAAATAAGTTGGGAAGTGTTCTCTTCTATTTTCTGGAAGAGATTGGGTAGAATTGGTACTATTTGTTCTTTAAAAGTTTGATAGAATTTACCAGTGAAACCATCTGGGCCTGGAGGTTTTTTGGTTTTTGTTTTTTTTTTTTTAAGGTTTTTACCTATGGATTCAATTTCTTTAATATATATGTTATCTATTTCCTCTTGGGTCAGTTTTGGAAGTTTGTGGCTTTTAAGGAATTGATCCATTTTATCTAAATTATTAAATTTATGTGCATAAAGTAGTTCAGAGTATTTCCTTCTAATATCTGCAGAGTCTGTAATGATAACACCTCGTCTATTACTGATATTGGTAATTTGTCTTTTCTCTTTTTTTTATTTGTCAGTATGGCTAGAGTTTATTGATTTCATTGATCTTTTCAAAGAACTAGCTTTTGATTTCATTGATTTTCTCTATTGTTTTTCTGTTTTCAATGTCATTGATTTCTGCTCTTTATTATCTTCTTCCTTCTGCTTGTATTGAGTTTATTTTGCTCTTCTTAGTTTCTTAATATGGAAACTTAGTCTGTTGACTTGAGAACTTTCTCCTTTTCTAATATAAGCTAATTTGTAATGCTATAATTTTCCCCTTAAGAGCTGCTTTAACGTCATCCCACAATTTTCATGTGTTGTGTTTCATTTTTGTTCAGTCAAAAATATTTTCTAATATCCTTTGGGACTTTCTCTTTGACCCATAGATTATTTAGATGTGTGTTGTTTAATTTCCGAGGATGTGAAGATTTACCAGTTATCTTTCTGTTATTGATTTCTAGTTCAATTCTATTGTGGTCAGAGAACATACTTTATATGATTTCAGTTCTTTTAAATTTGTTGAAGTTTGCCCAAGATGTGGTCTGTCTTGGTGAAAGTCCCATGTGTATTTGAAAAGAATATGTACTCTGCTCTTATTGGGTAGAATATTTTACAAATGTCTATTAGATCCAGTTGTTTGATAGTGTCGTTCAGCCCTTCCATATCCTTGCTGATTTTCTGTCTAGTTGTTTCATTTATTAATGAGAGAGGAGTATTGAAATCTTCAACTGTAATTGTGAATTTGTCTATAAGTTTTAGCTTCATGTATCTTGAAGCTTAGTGTTTTGGTGCATATACATTTAAGATTATTCTGTCTTCTTGATTAATTGACTCATTTATTATTAATATTTCTCTTTATTCCTGTTAATTTTTCTTGCCTTCAAGTCAACTTTACCTAATATTAATACAGCCAGTCCAAGTTTCTTTTCCTTAGTGTTTGCGTGGTGTATCTTTTTACATTCTTTCATTTATAAATTACTTATGATATTATATTTAAACTTAGTTTCTTGTAGACAGCATATTTTGGGGTCTTTTTTTAAAACAATTCTGACAATCCCTGTCTTTTAATTGTTTTTTTTTTTTTTTTAAAGATTTTATTTATTTTATTTTTTGCCCCCAAAGCCCCAGTAGATAGTGGTATGTCATAGCTGCACACCCTTCTAGTTGCTGTATGTGGGACTCGGCCTCAGGATGGACAGAGAAGTGGTGCCTCGATGCGCACCCGGGATCCAAACCCGGGCCGCCAGCATCGCAGCGCGCGCACTTAACCACCAAGCCACAGGGCCGGCCACCTGTCTTTTAATTGATGTGTTTAGATTATTTGCCTTTCATGTAATTTTTGGTATATTTGGACTTATATTCACCATTTTACTACTTGTTTTCTGGTTTTCATTCCTCTGTTTCCCCTTTCCTGATTTCTTTTGGATTATTTGAATATCTGATGATATGAATGTTAGACCTTTAAGTATCTATCGTTTCATTGATCCCTGAGCTTCTGTTCATTTTTTTCTATCTCTTTTTTCTCTCTATTGTTAAGATTGAATCATTTCTATGGATCGGTCTTCAAGTTCGTAGACTCTTTCCTCTGTCATCTCCATTCTGCTAGTGAACTCATCCAGTGAATTTTTTATTTTAGTTATTGTATTTTTCATTTTTATAATTTCCATTCAATTCTTCTTTATATCTTCTATTTCTTTACTGAGACTTTCTATCTTTCTATTTGTTTCAAGAATGTTCATTTGTACTTCTTTGAGCATGGTTATAATAGCTGTTTAAAAGTCTTTGTCAGGGCTGGCCCGGTAGCATAGCGGTTAAGTGCGTGCGCTCCACTGCTGGCCGCCCGGGTTCAGATCCCGGGTGCTCACTGACGCACCGCTTGTCAGGCCATGCTGTGGCAGTGTCCCACATAAAGTGGAGGAAGATCGGCATGGATGTTAGCCCAGGGCCAGTCTTCCTCAGCAAAAAGAGGAGGATTGGCATGGATGTTAGCTCAGGGCTGATCTTCCTCACAAAAAAAGTAAAATAAATAAATAAAAAAAATAAAAGTCTTTGTCACATAATTACAACATTTGCGTCTTCTCAGGGTTGGTGTCTCTTGATTGTCTTTTCTCTTATTAGTTAAGATTTTCCTGGTTCTTTGTATGCTGATTAATTTTGGATTGTATCCTGGACATTTCTAAGAGTAAAAACAGGAAGCCTCAAAATTCAGGATTTGTTAGTAGGCTTTTCAGGTTTAACTGAGTTTTGTAATATCATTACAAACCAGTGGAATATAAAAGAGGATTGGGCATACTTTCTGAAAAAAACTGCATATGTACGTAAAGGTTCACATTGAACTCTATTGCTTTTTGGCAAATGAATAAGAGTATTGCTCTTTTTTAAGCAATAATATATTGTACTGATATGCTGGTTAAAATACTTGGTAAAATATTAAAATATTTTTGATAGCTGTGGCCCTAGCCCCCTGAGTTTCTTTCCACTAGGTCCCTGTTACCTCAGCTTCTCTTTCAGGAAACCCTAAAACTTCCTTTAATCTAGCAACTAAAGAGTTAATGTCTGGCCCACAGGGAGTCTACTGGATGGACTCTGCTCCTGTGCTGTGGTTGAAGACTATTCTGATCGGTCAAGGCCAGTGCCTAGCAGTCATTAAATATTTAGAATACTGCCTCTGCCAACACCTTATATTTGTAGAGCATTTTATAGTTCACAAAAGATGTTTACATATATTGTCTTAGTTAAGCCTCATGCTTAATTCCGTGATATCAGTAGGAATTATTATTGCCATCAGAACACATTTTAATGATAAAACTAATACATATTAGGGGCCGGCCCAGTGGTATTGTGGTTAAGTTCACGCACTCTGCTTCGGCAGCCCAGGGCTCTTGGGTCCAGATCTCGGGTATGGACATACCTACACCGCTTGTCAAGCCATGCTGTGGTGACGAGCCACATATGAAGTAGAGGAAAATTGGTACAGATGTTAGCTCAGGGACAATCTTCCTCAAGCAAAAAGAGGAAGATGGGGAACGGATATTAGCTCAGGGCCAATCTTCCTCACGAAAAAAAAAAACAGAAAAAGAAAAATTAACACATATTAGTGTGGAGAATGAACTATTATTGGGGAACTCTAGGCTCAGAAAGGTTATCACTTACCCAAGATCACGTGGTTATAGGAGTTGGAGTCTAAATTCCTAATAGCTTCAAGAATGGTACATATCTTAAGTGCTGGGTTTTGGGGAGGAAGATTTCACTCTGGACTGGATCAATCTGGGAAGGCAATTGCAAGAGGAATTTACTGAGCTTGTACTGAAGGACTGGTAGGATCTGGTAGGCAGAGAGGAAGAGCAACAATATTTTACTCAGGAACAGTGTGAAATGTGGCCCAAATGTAGTAAAATATCTTATTTCCATGATCATTTCAAGACGCCGTCTCTGGAGGTGTTGGAACTGAGATTCCCCAACGTTTAGTCACAGAGAGCACCTGAGGCAAAGCTCTGCTCTCCTACATTGCTTGCTCAATTCTGGATTGCTGTTTTTGTTTTTGTTTTTTTTTTTTTAAAGATTTTATTTATTTATTTTTCCCCCAAGGCCCCAGTAGATAGTTGTATGTCGTAGTTGCACATCCATTCTAGTTGCTGTATGTGGGACGCGGCCCCAGCATGGCCGGAGAAGCGGTGTGTCGGTGCTCGCCCAGGATCGGAACCCGGGCCGCCAGCAGCGGAGCGCACGCACTTAACCGCTAAGCCACGGGGCCGACCCTGGATTGCTGTTGAAGGAAGCAGGAAACGAACCTTCAGAGCTGCTAAAGATGAATTGTACTTATTGGACCATTTTTCTCTCTCACACTTCGGTCCCTCCAGGTAGAGCAGTTGATGAGAAAGAAAGTGAGGCAGTCTTAAATATTATTCATAGCTTCTCGGCTGCTTTAACCAAGACCACAAAGGCTTATTCAAGGAGAGAATGATGCTCTAAGTCTAAGCAAGGCAACCAAAGTCCTAAATTTCTTTGGGTGTCTGTGTCCTGTCTGCAATAGCCATGGGAACCTTTTGCTCACATAACATTCTTTTACCTTGTTTAACAGTAGCGTGTGCCTTTCCCTTAGGAGGTGCGAGGCAGCAAGATGGTGGTGCAAATTCCCAAGAAGGGGAAGTTTGTCGCTGATGGCATTTTCAAAGCTAAACTGAATGAGTTTCTCACTCAGGAGCTGGCCAAAGATGGCTACTCTGGAGTTGAGGTCCAACTGACACCAACCAGGACAGAAATCATTATCTTGGCCACCAGCACACAGAAAGTTCTTGGTGAGAAGGGCCATGAGTCTGTGAATTGACTGCTGTGGTTCAGAAGAGGTTTGGCTTCTCTGAGAGCAGTGTAGAGCTTTATGCCGAACAGGTGGCCACAAGAGCCCTGTGTGCCATTGCCCAGGCAGAGTCTCTGTGTTACAAACTCCCAGGAGGGCTTGCTGTGCCGAGGGCCTACTATGGTGTGCTGTGGTTCATCATGGAGAATGGGGCCAAAGGCTGCCAGGTGTGTCTGGGAAACTCTGAGGACAGAGGGCTAAATCCAAGAAGTTTGTGGATGGCCTGATGATCCACAGTGGGGACCCTGTTGACCACTACATTGACACCACCATGTGCCATATGCAGCTCAGACAGGGTGTGCTGGGCATCAAAGTGAAGGTCATGCTGCCCTGGGATCCAAGTGGTAGGACTTGCCCTAAGAAGCCCCTGCCTGACCGTGTGAGCATTGTGGACCCAAAGATAAGATACTGCCCACCCTCCCCATCTTGGAACAGAGGGGTGGGAAGCCAGAGCTGCCTGCCATGCCCCAGCCAGAACCCACAACATAACAGGGTCTCCTTGGCAGCTGGATATGGAGCCTGGATGTTACTCTATAAAGATTTTTTGTATGTGTGTGAGGAAGATCAGCCCTGAGCTAACATCCAATGCCAATCCTCCTCTTTTCTTTTTTTTTTCTTTTTTTGCTGAGGAAGATTGGCCCTGAACTAACATCCGTGCCCATCTTCCTCTACTTTATATGGGATGCCGCCACAGCACGGCTTGACAAACGGTGCGTCGGTGCATGCCCGCCACTGAACCCCAGGCCACCCGCCAAACCCCAGGCCGCCCGCCGTAGCAGAGTGTGCACACTTAACCGCTTGCACCACCGGGCCGGCCCCCTATAAAGACTTTTAATAAAATCTTTAAAAAGAAAAATAAAAGTAGAGTTGTATTCAGATTTCATGGACACCAAATTTTATATAATTTGGGGCCTCTTTTAAAAAAAGAAAACACAACCACATGATTTCACTCATATGTGGAATATAAACTAACACGCGGACAGAGAGAACTGTTTGGTGGTTACCAGGGACAAGGGGGATTGGGGGTGACAAGGGGTGAAGGGAGGCATTTATATGGTGACTGACAAGCAATAATGTACAACTAAAATTACACAATGTTATAAACTATTGACATCAATAAAAAAAGATTAAAATTAAGGTTGCTTCACTGAACAGAAGTTGCCTTTTGTACAGTTCACTAAATATATAAAACATCAATTAACAACTAAAAAAAAAAGGAAAACACAATTACAAATAAAAAATTAGGTACAGGACTTAGAAAAGAACTCTGTTAAAGTAAGGGTCCAGAAGCTTTAACTTCATTAGCTTTACAGTATTTCCACCTGTGCTTAACAGTAATAACAAATCTGATAAAAGGAGGGGAAATTATTCAATTAAATAACATAAAAGTATTTTTCACTGTATATTCACCTCTCCTTAACAGTAATTTTTAAAATCTGCTAAAAGAAAGGGAAATTATTCAATTAACAGCATCAGACTATTTTTTAAAATGGTTCCTGTGCTTCCAGGCTGTTTTTTTCTCCCCAGTACTTTTAGAACAGTTTTATTGAGATATCATTGACATACAATAAACTGCTCATATTTGAAGCACACAATCTGATAAGTTTTGAAATCTGTATACATCTATGAAAGCATCACCACAATCAAGATAATGAATATATCCGTCACCCTCAACAGTTTCCACATGCCCTGTTGTAATTCCTCCATCCAGCCCCTCCCTTTACTCCCCCCAACCTCTCCCCCCATTTTTTCATATATTTTAATCCGCTTTTTTTGTCATTCAAGGCAGAAGGATAAATTTGGTCCCTGCTGTTTTATCTTGTCCAGAAGTAGCCGCCCCCAAGATTTTTTAACACAGAGAAAAATATTAACAATCAAATATGAAGTGAAGAGATGCTCCTTCAGGGCAAGTATAGTTTTGAACAGAGAAACTAGAAGACTGATAATCCACAGAGAATTCCCCGATGTTAAGGACAAAAATGGAGAACACACATAGAGGTATATCCAGTCCGGAGGAGCCTTTCTTTGCAAACTCATAGATGCACTTTTGGGATGTGGTCAGCATTGCAGAAATCATGTAAAAGAAAAAACTGACAGACTTTTCTCCCATACTTGACTTGTTGTAAACCCACAATGAAATTAATTTTGGTTTCTATTTATGTGCCTCGTGGCTGCAGCCTGAGACGGTATGAGCCACCATTGTGCTGAGTATCTACTTGTGCCCAAGTGAAGTTTCTATATGAATTCAATGATTCTTCAGTTCTTCACTTCACTTCATCAACAATGTTCACTAACACCTGCTGTGCTCTGTAACAGAGGCACCCCGGGGGGTTTGCAGAGACCCTTGCATCCTCCCTTGTCTTCTGCCTAGGCTCTGGCAGATGCCAAGCCAGTTTGTCATCCAAGGCTGGGCCCATGTGCCCCTCCTAAGGCCACTCAGCCCAGTCATTTTTTCCTTCCAAATTACTTGCCAACTTCACATTTAATTCTCAATGAATACTGTTTCCTGAAAACCTTGTCTTATTACTAAACATTTTTCCAGTGTATATTCTCTCTTATAAATGAAATCATAAACCCCTTACAGGCGAGTACATATTTGTATTACTTCTTAGCATCTCCCACTTCTTAGCATCTTACTTCTTAGTGTCTCCATCCCCATCACAGGGCCTAACACAATTTGATACACATTGATTTTACTTTAAAGTATAATTTGTCCTTATTATATAATTAACACTTGTTCATAATGAAAATGTTCATTATGTAAGTGTTAGATAATACAGACAAGCAAAAAGAAGGTTTTTAAATTGCCCAAAATCCTATCATCCAAGAATAACCACTGTTAACATTGTGCATGGACTATACACCAAACAGGATATATATTTGCCCCACAGAAGCTAATATTTTAACAGGATGAATTGAAATATACACAGCCACAAATAAGACGGGGTAAGAGGATGGAGTTACATTCTTGAGAAGCCAGGAAATGAGGTGTTTTTTTGTGGCCCCGGGCGGGCAGCACAAGTGTGCTTTTAGAGACTTGGCCAAGCAGGCCATCCAGAAAATAGTTCTCCCATCAGTTCTTGGAATCCTTGCAGCAGGAACAAAGACTGTCCTTCCACAATAGTGTTAAACGACTTAAGGAGAAGTGTGGTCCTCGAACCAGCAACATCAGCATCACCTGGGAACTTGTTAGAAATGCAAATTCTCAGGCCCCATCCTAGACCCACTGAATCAGAAACTTTGGGGGTTGGCTCAGCAGGCTGTGTTTTAACAAGCCCTCCAAGCGATTCTGATGCACAATAAAGTTTGAGAACCGCTGTCTAAAGACTGGGATTGTGTCTGGTTCATTGTTGAGTTCTCTGTCTCAGCACCCGGTGCCCAGAAAGTCAAAAAGAATTTGTTAAATCAAGAATACAAATACCAGGGCTAGCCCCAATGCCTAGTGCTTGAGTTTGGTGTGCTCCGCTTCAGTGACCCAGGTTCACATGTTCGGATCATGGGCATGGACCTACACCACTGGTCAGCCATGCTGTGGTGGCGACCCACATACAAAAAATAGAGGAAGATTGGCACAGATGTTAGCTCAGCGCAAATCCCCCTCAAGCAAAAAGAGGAAGATTGGCACAGATGTTAGCTCAGGGTGAATCTTCTCACACAAAAAGAAAGAATACAAACACCCCTTAGAGATGCATTAATTTTTTAAATTATTTTTACTATGGTATATTGCTCATAGAAATATGTAAAAGATATAATGAACACCTAGTATATCCAGCAATCTCTATAACCAATTAAATCTTAGTTGGCCGCATTTCCTTCAGATATATTTTTAGAGAACAAAAACATTGCAGATACAACTGAGAACTTTCTGTGTATCCTCTTCCCAAGCTCATCTTCTTTCTCCTTCTCCAGAAATAGCCAAGATCGTGAAGCTGGCATTAATCATTCTTGTACGTGTTTTATGCTTTTACTACATATTCATGTATCTATAAACAATATATGGCACCGTTTTGCAGGGTTTTGAACTATTTAAATGGTGTCACACTCTACGTATCCTGCAATTAGCTTTTCTGTGTTGTTTTTAAGATTTATCATTGTCGGACACAAAGCTGCGATTCATCACTGTAATTGCTGTATAATATTCCCTTGCAGGAATAGGAATATACAGTGATATATGAATCTGATCTTCTATTAACGACATTTAAATGTTTCCAGTTGATTTAGTTTTTCACTATTAAAAGTAATGCTGCCACAAATGCACATATCTTCTGGTGCAATAAAATAGTGTCTCTCTAAGGTAAAGACCTAACAGTAGATGTCCTGGGATGTAGGAATGGGAGCATTTCCGATCTTAATAGATGAAATCAAATTGCTCCCCAGAGTGGTAGTACCAATTTCTCCACCTTTTTTTCCAATATGAAATATTGTTGGACTTTCAGATTTTTGTCTATTTGATGAGTGTGAAATAGTATCTCATCATTGTTATAAATTTTTCACTACCTTAATTTCTAGCGAGCTGGAGCATCTTTTTATATGCTAATAGGCCGTTGGATTTGAGTGATATAAAGTTAACACATATTCACAAGATATAAATCCCTGGCATCATCTCCATTTCTGAAAGAGAGTTTTGATAGGGAGAAGGCCTGAGAGGGAGGAGAAAGTGGAAAAAGCCCTGCAGACACGGGAGGAGGTGGGATGAGGAGAAGGTAGAGACATCATTTGCCTTCCTCAAGGTCCTTTCCAGGGCTGGCCCTGGACCATTGTCACATCAGCTCTGTTCCCTTCCCCCGGAGCTGGAGTCCTAAGCCCTGGGAGAGGTTGAGGTACAGTGGAGGTTGTAGTGATCTTTTCCGGTCATGAGATTTTCAGGCCTTTTTGATTAAAGACTAGTTAACCCAGTGATTGTCAATGAGAGATGTACATCCCTCCCAGGGTGTGTTTTGGAAATTTGGGGGGATTTTTTAGTATCACAATGATTAGGGTATTAGCATTACTGGCATTAGTGGGCTGGGATCAGGGGTGCTATACTTCCTTCAATGTATGGGCCAGTCTTACTCAACAAAGAATTTCCATGACCGCTCCACACAACTTTCAAAAGTCCTGCTGGACATTTATATGGGTGAAAAGCCTGTTCATAATGATCTAGCCTGGCCTCCAACTCTGTTTTCTATATAATCACAAAGTGTTTTGTCATGGGTTTACACTGATTTTTCCAAGAATGTAAACTACTATTTAAACTGAGAGAAGATTCTAACTTCGTTTTGTTCAAAACTTTACCAAGGGTGAGTCACCCTTTGCCAGATTTCAAAAAAAAAAATCTGTCACTTGACAATACTGATCATGGTACTTAGGTCACCACTGTAAGCCACACAATGGTATCAGTCTGCAGTTGAAGTTGTCACCTTTACGGTGATTCTACACATAGGTGCGAGCATCTGACAACTTCATTGTATTTTCTATTATAGTTAGGCCTATGCATTTTATATAGTTTTATGACAAACTGCTCTTCTTTTATTTCTCCATTATATTTGGGCATTATAATTATT